AGTTGGAACCAGCCCAAATGTCCATCTTCGGATGAGTGGATATGGAAAATGTGGTATATCTGCAAAATGGAATACCACTCAGCTATAAAAACGAATGAAATATTGCCATTTGCAACAACATGGATGGACCTAGAGAGAATTATATTAAGTGAAACAAGTCAGGCACAGAAAGAGAAATACCACATGTTCTCACTTATTGGTGGGAGCCAAAAATAAATAAATAAATTCACTCACACACACACACAAAAAAAACCAGGGTGGGGGTGGAAGAAGATATAACAACTACAACCCTTTGAAGTTGTTACAACAAGCAAACGGAAAGGACATTTTTGGGTGGTAGGGGGGAGAGGGAGGAGGGAGGGAGGTTTCGGTGATGGGCCATAATAATGAACCACATTGTATATGGACAAAATAAAAATTCAAAAAAAAAAAAAGAAAGAAAAAGAAAAATCCTTTTAGGACATATTTTCATAATAATAACTTTCCTATTATGTGACAATACCACATCATTTAGGTGTAACATCTCTCCAGGACTTACTACGTGGTTTTGTAATGAAAACTGACCATTATGATAGTAATACTGTATTTAATACCATATGATATCATACTCCAGTATCACAGAGTAGCAGAGTCCATATCCCATTTAGAGTTAAATTATTTGCTTCATTTATTTGGTAGATATTGCTGATCTAAATATTTCATAACAATTTTTCTAGCAGAAAGTAGGGAAAAGCCTTATAATAACAATATCATATTATTATAACAATTTTATAACATATGGAGGTAAAATGTTTTAAGTGGTCCCTTCTTGTAATTTACACAAAGTCATTCTAGATCCTCGTAGCAGTCCTTAATCAAACTAACTGGCCAATCAAATTCATCTGTAAATATTTTGACAGGGATATCATTTCCAAAGTATAACCTATGAGCAATAAGAAGAAAAACTTGATTCAAAATATGTCTTGTAAAAGAATACTAATTATAAAACCAGTATAATTGAATTGGTCCCACAGGTCTAATTTTGCTACATACATCTCTTTAGCAACAAAGTCGTCAGATTTTAAGAATAAAGCACTTCTTATCAAGTCTCATATTATTGGCACCTGGATTATGAATAAAAGAGGAAAATGAGCATCTGATGATTCACTTAGTGCTTTTCAGATATCTGTCACACCTTCTAGACATTGGAGATAAAAGGTACTTCTACTCAGATCTAGAAGCCTATTCATATCTCTTCCAGAAATTTTAATAGCTCCTTTCTGTTCATATTATAAATAGAATATATAGTAAGTAAGTATATAACAATTATGTGTAAGCCATGGTAATTAAGATTAGTCAATTTATTCGGTTATTCTATCATTCATACAACAAATATTTAATTAGCACCTAAAAAGTGCAAGGTATACTGTTGGGTCTAATATTGACATATTTTCATTCCTTGGCTAATATCCAACATGAATTTGGAATACCAGCATTGGGATATCCTATGAGTGAGTACAGATATTTGCTTTCATTGCTTTAGTCCTTAGGTCCACTATTGGTTATAGTTAAAACATGTTCTAATATCAATATTAACAAAAGCCAAACTTAAACGCAAGCACTAATAAACATAATCTAATTCAATAATATCACAACTTATCCAAATGTAAAAATAAGCAACATATTATAAGAATAACATGATTTTAAATTGCATATTAATAAAAAAAAACTATTTAAAAAGCCCCTTACCTCTTGTTTGTAACCCCTTTCCACAGGCTTCACTGGTGCCCATGATTCCCTGCCTGACAGACTCTGGCACTAAGATACAAGGCCTCCATTTCTGTGGCTTCCACCTGTGATTACAAAGAAAAGTGGACTAGAAATTTTGCCGTGATAAATATACAAATAGAATACTTGAAATAGATTAATTTGAAATAGAAAAGGAAAGTTTTTAAATAAAAATGGACTCTAAAGCAATGTCATAAAATCAAGCCCTGTCAAGCACTAGAGATGACAATAGTCCACTCCGCTGCAGATTCATGGTTTATGCAACAATTTCATTTTTTAGAATTTGGACATTTTTTGCATAAATGTTAGTTCATACAGAAAAGTAGCCACAAAAAACATTAGAAGCACAGATTGATCTGGAAGGTGTAGATCTTTATGAACTTAAAATTGTTTCAAGAAAACAATAAAAGAAAAAAAAAGAGAAAATCCCTGTGTCCCACTGGAGTATTAAAGAATCAAAGTGTGAACATCTGAAGCTTGGAGTGCCAACCTTCACACTGGATCTTCTGTTTCTAATTTTGTATAAGGTGCTTCCTAGGACTCTGAAGTAACTCAAACATCTCAACAGGTTAAAGAATAAAAGGAAAGGTGCGGGCCTGGGACCCTATCTTATCTGATAGTTCATTTAGGGAAAACTAATGGACCCAACTCTGATAAAATACCAAGATTTCTATTCCTCAGAGGAAATAGTCTCTAAGGAAGTCTTCTGGTTTTTCTTTTCTCACATCGATAAAGCTCTATTTTTATGACTCACAGGTCCTTAAACCTGTCTCTTCACAATGTTCCAGAAAACCCAAGCCATAAGTAGAACCACAGGTTCTGCTCTTTCATTAAGTATATTTTCACATTTTTTCAGATAGGCTAGTACTTCTGTTAGGAGAGCCACTTCAAGAAAATAAAAAAGAAAGAAAAAGAAAAATGAAATAAAATAAGAATATCATTGACATCATTCAAGTGGGCTTCCTAATGGGAATAACCGAAGAGCTGGGGAAAAATCAGGAAACAGCTAAACAGAAAACCTGTCCTGTTTAAAGAAATCACCTATTAATTTTAAGTAGTTGTAAATTTAGTTGGTCAATGCACAGACTCATTCAGCATGATTCTAAAACACAGAAGCTAAAATGGTAAGGGGTTTTAGGCGAACTTTTCAACTAGGAGATATCATTCATAAAGATCCTTTGAGTTTACACAGGTTTACTAGACCGAAATAAAACCAAAGAATACAGTCTCTTTCAGTTTGCTGAACAGACTGAAAGGGAAGGAATGAATTTTCAGAATTCTCTCATGGAACTTTCAGTTTTAGTATGATAGACCTGGGCTCAGAGAGGTTAAATGATATGTCCCAGACTGTCAGAACAAGCTGGTTGTCAGCCCTAAGTCTCTGGATACTCTTGTCTACACCTCATTGCCAATTCTACCTAGGATAAAGGATTCTGTGATGTCTTTTCCATTACTTACTAATTTAATGTGTTGGAGATGCTTAAATGCACAGAAAAAAATAGACATTTGGATTCTGTTTTAATTTGGTAAAAATGTGAATATGTCACCTTAATGGAGTCAAAAATATGAATAAGAAGATAGTGATAAAAGCCTATCTTAACTTGCTTCTTAGATAACTTCCTCTACCTTACAATGAAGGTGAAAGCAAAATCTAAGTTGGAATCATATTGCTCAAAATTCAAGGATGATTTACTAAGCAGCAGAAAATCATGCTGATAGCTTGGACACATTTTGAACTGAGCATCAGATAAATGATACAATGATCTAATCCATACACATGGGAACTGATTTTGGGGAAAATGGCAGGAGGTCAACGATGGAAATGAGTTCAAACATGGATGGCTAAATTGAAGTGCAACAGATAAAGAGAGTGGGCAACAGAATGGAAAAGCCCACTAACAGTTTCTACAACTTTATCTGATTATAATAGCCCTGGGTTCATAAAAATGTCTAATATTTGATCTGGTTATTTTTTTCACTTGGCTGCTTTCCTTGAGAGCTCTTTTGCTGGGCTCAGAAATTTCAATATTTATACATGGCACAAAACGATGAATATTGACAATATTTCCATAGTGGCCCTGTGGTTGATAAGGGAAAACTGGTAGTCTGTGCACATTCCCAATGGTTATTTTCATCCTCCCCAGATTGATCATCAGAGAGAAACAATGGGAGTAAAGGATGATAAAATTGATAGTAATTTAGATTTTTTTCAATGACACTTCTAAACTTTACCTAAAGTGAGAAGTCTTCTTTAAAAAAAAAAAAAAAAAAACTTATATTTTCTGAAAAAATTAGCCCTTGATTTTCACAGCTTTAAGATATAGTTTCTCAAATAATCAGGAGAAATACTAGGCATTTTTAACAAAGACATATTTAAGTATGCTGATAAAGCTATATGATTTTTAAGGCCACAGGCTATTTTCACAAATCAATACAACTCAACAGTGATTGAATATAATCCAAATATACTTTAAAGAAATGTTTTAATCAAATTTAAAGCTGTCAAATGTTATAGAAGTAGAAGTTTATAGCTAAACAGAAAAACTGCAGGTATAATTTTTAGAAATAATAATTACTGATTTGCCAAGAGGGAATGTGTAGGGAGCATATATAGTTTAAGAGTTACTCATTTTTTTAAAAAAATATTTCATCCATGGGTGAAGCTTTTTCTCTAACTAGATGGTTTCTCAAAATATGTATGTAATAAAAATTGAGTACCAAAACCAATTTTAATTAAAATAAACAATTATTAAGAGAATACAAATTTATTCTTAATTCTTGATTAAAGTTTTAGGATGAGAACAATACAGTAAGGGTTGGTTACCTCCTCTGTGTGTGTGGGGGTGTGTGTGTTCATGTATGTATGTATATGCATACACACCCACCCACACACACACACACACACACACACACACACATGAGTATATATTGTTTTTCTCCCCCAGGTAAAGACCTCATCCTGAATCTCTTGGAATCATGATCCTCAAATTAATTGCCTGAGTGGCAGAAGTCCAGCAGCTAACTTACAGTCAAAACATGTTTTTTCCCCCTGTTAATCAGACTTTCATATACTTTACTCATTCCAAATATATTCCATTTAAGAGTGGAAACATTGAAGTATTTGAAGATATACAACAACATTACTTCATCTTATTTTTTACTAAACAACCATATATTTCGTGGGGAAAAAAAAGTTATGATTTATACTAATGTCTAATGATAATTTAAAAAGGTAACTAATTACCAATATAAAGGGCACAATGAGACATCTTCACACTCTCTCTCTTCAAATAAGGTATCTGGGCATTCCTGGCCTCCGTTGGCTGCTTCTTGGATGATAATCCTGTATCGAGACTGTTTTATTGTGGCATTTCCTGAAGTAAAGGAAAAATAAAATTATAGTGCCCTTTTATGTTGATGCAGATTAAAATTCAGAAAGCAAATCGGAAAAAAAAAAAAAAAAGGAGAGGTAAAGTAAACACATGTAGAAAGACGCCTGGGAAATAAGAATAACAAGCAAAGATGAGGATTTAATAGTCAAAGTTACTTCTGTGAGACAGACATACTACACTTCATAATTTAGATTTCAAATATATGTATGTGTTCTAATATGCAAAGATTGTTTCCCACTGTCTTAATGTGTTTTAAATTAACTAGGATCTATATTACCAATGGCATGAGAGTTACATGGCATGATCTGAGCGGCCCCAAAAATCTTCCTTGATTTCAAAACAACAGCTCAAGAGCCTGGAGTTTTATTATTAGCAATTAACCCCCTTGAGTAAGGCATTTCCCTCTCTAGGCTACTTTTTATAAAACAAATACTCCTCTTAAAATTAATATTTTAATAATCTATTTATTTATTATATTTCATATCCTCACAACCTCATAACCAATATGCATGTAACTGGAATTTAGGGAAGAAGCACTAAAATTAGGAAAGACCAAAATATTGTTTACTTCGTGGTTTTGCTGACACAGAAGTACTAATAGGCACCTCAAAAAAAGACAACTGATGCTTACTTTAATGTGGTAGAGACTGTTCTATTTCAAAATTTTTAAATATCTTCTGAATCAATTATTGTTATAATGTTTGGCAACTATTTCAATTACCATGTGCAAGATAATACTGTGTGCACAAAATAAGCAGACATAAATTTCTGATGTACAGAATTTACAATTACGCAGGAAGAAAAGGGGACAAATATATACAGAACTAGTCACAAGACATGGTAGAGTGTGAAAAATGTCAGATAGTGATACATTGTTAGGTGGGTAAAGAAGAAAGAGTAATCATTTTTGATTCTGGGAACCGAACGGAGCTCACAGAACAGCCAGATTTATCCTGGGTCTTGAAGGCCGAATAGAAAAAGATATATATAGGATAAAGCCATTTTAGGCCAAGAAATCAGTTTGAGAAAAGGCACTGAGACATAAGAGCACAAGGAATTTACAGAGAAAGACACATGACTATGTTCAGAAGAAAGGTATGTGTGTCAGGCCTGAGAGTGTGCACATGGAGAGGTGGAAGAGAGCGAGAGAGCACAGTGAAGGTTACAAAGAACACAGAGAAGGGGAAACGCAGGAGAAAAGGAATTAATTGGTAGGTATGGGACAAGTAATGGACCTAATCATGTTAAGAGGTTAATCTCTACGAATTCAGTGAACTAAGTGGGGCAAAACAAAAAGAGAAAAAGGAGCATTTATTAAAATTATACATGCACATTTTTTTAGATCATTAATACAAGAAGACTTACAGTGAGAAGCAACTACCCACTACCCAAGCTCCCCTACCCCTGTCTTCCTCCTCAGAGGGAACACTTTTAACTGTTGCTGTATTCAGTTCTCCTGTGGTTACCTCCAAATCTATAAACAACATGCTTATGTCATTACTTATTGATTTATGAACTTTAGACATTACCTATTGACACTCTGCTATAATTGGTGAGAATTTACTTTTCACTACCTTCCAAATTTTTACAATCATATAGCTAATTTTATGCTTCGGCCCTGCTCCTCATTCCTGTTCTCCATCAGACCAGCCCCACAGCTCTGCAGAGTCCCCCAGGGAGGATGGGCTTTTGCCTCCACCGCACCCACCTTCCTGCTAGGTTAGGTGGTGGCTTCCTGGGCTGTGTCATCAGTCTCTCTGCTCTTCAGTCTAGTCCATTAATGTCTGGCTTCCATAAGTGAGTTCAGATCTCTCGTCCACTGATGGTCCTCTCCTTTTGTTTTTGACAAGGAATTAGGGCTTTGAAAAGTCCTTTTCTATCATTTTTCACGAGATCTTGAGAAGGAAAAGAGACCAGCATGTCTGCACATTTCATGACCTTGAACTGGAAGTGAAGGAAATGTACAGGATCTTTTCCATTTGATCCATAGCTACTATCTTTGTCCTTCTTTAACCTGCTCTGTACCTAAGGAACTAACCAGAGGAGGATTGCATCAGTGGTCCCCTTGCCCACTGGCTTCTGTTTGGGTTTTTCCAATGGGGGATGAGGCACATAATGGATGGGGGAAAAAAAGGGGGCAAGAGGAGAGAGAGGTCAGGGAATTTATTACAGATTCCATCTTCTGCATCACCCAGGCTGTCTCCCTCTCTCTACCAAAAGACACAGTTCCTACGACTGGCACTTGCCTACAGCTACTTTCATTGGGTTCTACTAATTGCCCTTTCCTTCCATCTTTCTGGCTCCCAGCTGTCACTAGCTCAGGTACTAAGCCATCATCCCCTGCTAGTTTACATTAACACTGCCCACTCCATTGTAAATAGTCCCTTCATTAAATTTTCTTCAGTTGCCCCATTTGATGGGCCACCAGTTTCCTGACAGAACATGTCAATAAAGTCAAAGGAGAAATTCCGCTATTTGATAGGTGAATGCTGTCACTGCACTTTTAAAAAGGTAGTTAAGGCCCTATGAGGAGTACAGAAATAGCAGCTTAACAATAAAGAAAAATGTAACTGAAATAGTTTTGCATAATAATATGAAAAGCCATTTTCATTTGGGTGGGGACAATCTTGGTAAATAATTATGCATTTAGGAAAAAGTATTTTCCCCCACTCCCAATGAATTCCAATTACACTGTACTTACTCTAAAAATTATTGTTTAGCCTTAGAATGTGTATGAGTGTGGGTTTGTGTTTGTGTGTGTGTGTGTGTGTGTGTTGTCCAAATATTATCTTAGGACACTGGAAATTAAGATTGAAGACAATAAAAAAAAATGAAAGGGACATTTCACCTCATATTGACAGAAAACCCTAAAGGGAACTAGACCTAGAATATGAATCAATGCTTCTCCCTTCTGCAATGTGCACATGCGCACACACACACACACACACAGACACACAAAATACACATTCACACAGGTATTCTGCCTTTATGGTGTGACTCCAGGTCAAAGGATTCAAAGTTTGAGAAAAATAGTTGCATTGATTTTCATGCCCTACAGACGTTCAGGTTGGAGGTTGAAAAGGATAGATTCTATGATGAAAACGATAGATTCTATGATGAAAACATTTAGCATAGAGATAAGATTTTCAGGAGAGGAAACTGACTAGCACTACAAAAAAATGAAGAAAAAGGCACACCTCTTTGAAAAGAGAGGTATAGAGTTAAGGTATCTTGAGATAGGGAAACAACACCATGATATGTGAGATGGCTGCTAAGAGTTTATGTATGTGTGTGTGTTTTTTTTCCTTGAACAGTGAAATAGTCATATTTAGCATTCAGTTTTAAAGGATTTTCCCCTTCCTATGACATAAGTGCTTCAAATTATGGCCAGAACTATGGCAGAATCTGTTATATACAACACGCTTGATTTAGTGGTGGTGTGGCTAACTCAAGGGTGTACCCCTGGAAAGTATACCTGGAATGGAGCAGTCAATGGTCTTCTCACTCCACCCCTACTTTGAAGCCAGCATGAGGGTAGCAGCTCTGTATTAAGAAAGGGTAATAATTCCAGAAATCCCAGAGGTGACTTGTAGCCAAAGAAGTGGATGCTTGAGGCAGCCCCTGATATCATGGTTTGAAGTCAGGCAAGAGAAGATGAACGAAAGGCCAAATGGAGTTCTCAGGAAGTGATGGCAAACAAAACCCCCTTGTTCCATTGAATATACAAGAAAAAGTGATTTCTAGGAAGTGGATATAGAAAGGGGAGGACAGTGGCTTTGCAGGTGGAAGACATTTAGATTACACCTGGAAGTAAAACATACTAAAACTTTACAGGAATTATCACCTTCATCTATGTCAGATACACTTCAGGGCATTTTGCATATGCTATCTTATTTTATTATTATAACACCATATGAGGTTGGTATTCTTCTTATTATTATTCCTGTTTTATTAATAAGAAAATGGAGGGTGGAAAAGGTAAATAATTTGTCCAAAGTCACCTAGATAGGATTGAAATTGTGCTTGGCCAACATTAAAATCCGTGATCTTTCCATTAAAGGAAACTTTACACTAAGATGACAAGAGAGGGGCAGGGGAGGAATCTGAATCTTAGTTCCTCTCTTATTCCCAAGGGAAGCCTCTTCCTTTTTAAATAATTCTTCAATAGCACACTGTTTGCAGAAGACTTCAGTGTCAATAAAAACAATAATATTCGCAGGGCTTTGTGAGCAATGCCTCCAACCTCACTATGACTATGAAAAATAACAATAAATTAAAGTGACTGTTCGCAAATATAAACAATTGCTCAAGCATGATTATGATAATAAGCAACGTTTAAATTCGGTTTTGATTTTTGCATATTTTATCATCATTAAGTCATCAGGCATAATTAAAGCTTAAGTTATTAATTATAATCAAAAGAAGTAACATTTAGAAAAGATGGCAATTTAAAGATTAAGAACCATATTTAACATAGAAAACATACGAGTGGCCTACAAACACTGAAGGGTATTTACAGATTCTTTGGGAAGGTCTATACCAGTTTTTCTCAGAAAGACAGTAGCAAGGGTGGAAGAAATAAGCATGTAAAGAGTAGCTTCAGGTGATTTGCAGTGAGGTGAGCTAAGGCACACCACACTGAATTCAAGTTGTGTCGAGCCCTGATGCCACGGGTATTCAATCAATGATTTGGAATAAAGAATTGACTAAGTTTGCAACTGGTCTAAAATGTGAGAATGAGGGAAAACCAAGTTCACAGCACTACATAGGTGAACACAGACACTGGCAGATAGGAGAGGCAGGGAGGGAGGGAGGGCTCCTAAAGGCAAGCAGATCCAATGCCAACCTGCAGATTCTGATTAGCAGGATTTTTTAAAGTGAGCTCTAGGGCTTTGTTTTGTTTCTTAAATATCACCATTACTGAGTAGACCTCAGTGACACATTATTCTTCATGGCACCAACATTCTTCCAGCTTATCACCT